TATTTTGGTATTAATATTGATTCACTCATAGGGTCTGTGCATCGGAAATAAACACATTTATTCTAAAACCAGTTGTTGGCATGATACGGGTTATGTTCTTCCCATATATTTTATGATGGTATGATACTAAACCCCTAACGGGAGGGACTGTGCTTGATTTTTATATGATGAAGACATAATCTTTCAATCAGTTTAATTGATGTCTGGAGCTGGCATGTCAGTAACTGCTAGTAGTGCTTTGCTAATTTATGTATCATTGTCATATGCTTAGTTTCTTTTGTTACCTTCTGACATCGGACTCGGACTTCTTTTAAACTGAGTTTTACTGTGCGTATTGCTGTGTGTTTGTTTATTCTACATTGGCTAGAGGTATAGGGGAGGGTTGAGATCTCACAAAACATGTTCAACCCCGCCGCATTTTTGCGCCTGCCCCAAATCAGGAGCCTCTAACCTTTGTTAGTCTTGTATGTTTTTGAATTTTAGTTCATTTATGTGTTTTGGAGTTTAATGTGACGTCCATTTTCATTGAACTAGTACACATGTTTGTTTAGGGGCCAGCTGAAGCCCGCTTCCGGGTTCGGGATTTTCTCGCTGAGTTGAAGACCCATTGTTCAATTTTGAAAAAAAGTAATTTGATTGATAGCGTCGAAAAACTAAAAAAAAAATCGAAAAAAAGATAATTCGGAAATAGAATAGAAAGTATATGGACTTTTTGATAGCAGTTTTTACCAGTGACCATAAGACCACAGTATTGCAATATAAGTATTTAATGCCCAGTTCTTCTACAGGTTGTCAATGTAAATAAACATGCTAGAAATCATGCATGTTTATCAGTCAAGCTCTAACGACAATGTCACAAAAGAGGACTGTAACAACTAAGATGAAAACTAATATAATAATTAATCAACAGTTGTAATGCCCAGACGACTTAAAGCCAACTTAAAAGTATAAAGTTTCCTCTTATGTGTTCATCATGTTATCAAGTTGCACAACTCTTATTGGGTTTCAATAGAACGTCACAAAAACTATAATCCTTCTAGAGGTTACCAATGTAAATACAAATTCTAGACATGATTCGTGTTTATTTGTCAAGATCTAACGAAAACTGTTTGTTAAAAAACTTGTCAGACTTCATTAGTGCAATAATCATAGTAACCAAGACATATATAATTGTTCACGACACACCTATATATATATATATTTAAACCTTCAAATATTAGTCAGTGTTGAAGTAGTTTTTTAATTACATCAATATGAATAAAAAGAGATTTAGGGTATATGCCATGCCACTGAGACCGTAACCAACCGACATCTAGTACTAGTTTTCCATAATCATACCCGGCTGTACATACGAACGTGTCGGATTACTTTTGGGTCAAACTTGTCAACAATAACCTTGGATTAGAGAACGAAAAACAGAGACTAAAACGTCTTAATCGACTGCATACTGACGCGTAGAGTAGGTTTGGCCAAGATGCCAGGTAACAAACGTCTCGGCCTTTGACCAATAATTGAAAATCAGATCTATCGGAACCCGCTTACTCGTACATGTATAACATTATGAGCATAACGAAAGCAAAGATCTACATTTTAATCAGATTGTCAATTGATATACACAGTTTTCAACATAAATGATGCTATAAATCCCCCTATTATTAGCTTCATATTTGATTGAATCAATATAATCAAAGAGCTGATTGCGCTCTGAGGTGGAAGAAGATGAATAAAAGATAACTTGAATTAACATAAAAGCAGCCCCATCAACCTATCCTGCTTTGTCCCATTATTGCTTTTGACGTATTAATTCTTTAACAGTAAGACTCATAACTCAACCAAAACTCACTATACTTAACGTAAAATCTGCAAATACTGTTGATTCAAATTAAATTTTCTATAACTAGTCTAGATTCCATACATTCGTCTCAGCATGGTCAGCTTGATGCAATGCCACTTCGCCAAGCAATTATAACAGTTATTGATTTGGTTTAACTTGAAAGTTTTCTGTCAAAAAATTGAAAACAACACGTTTAATAATTTCATGCGTCCGAAGCGCTTTTCTGGATTTAACTTCATCAGGAAAGCTCAAAGCCAAACATTTGAAATCCGAAGGATGTATAAGTACCGAAACAGTTGAAGAGCTATATGACAAAAATACCTATAACAAATAGCCAAATCCATCTAAGGTCAACTTTGCCTGAGGGAGTTGAAACCTTAGTTTCTTTATAATTTCAAGATTTATAAACGGGCAATTTTAGAAAAGTTTGTTATTAATCATGTCAGTACCGAAGTACTGACTACTGAGCTGATTTCAAAGGTAGATAGTTGACCTTAAAAAAAAAACTGGCTTCCAAGATTTTAGTCAAGTTTGCTTAAACTAGGGTTTTCATTATAAACATATATTGAAAAATTCTGAATATATCCAATGCAGATATGTGTCAGGCCAAGAATTTGGTTTTGGGCACTTATTAGCATTTCAAACTTGTTCCGTACTCGAGCCTCGATAATGGGTGTACCTAAATGACGAATAACGGTAAAGAGCTGGACTATTTAGTTGTAAAGATCCCGTTTTTGATCACTTATAAAACGTTGAATCGTAAGGCAACAAAGACAATCATTGGGGACATTTTGACAATGACCGACATGAAAACTACGTACTTTCGAAATGGAATCCGTCAACTGACATTAGTTTATTCATTGATATTTCTGTCAAATTACGGTGCGTCGTTTGGTGTGTAACACACCACTAGATTCACATGTGCGCTTGACTCTTTATTATCGCCATAACATACTAAAATATTCTAACTTTTTCGTTTTAAAAAACACATGTTATCTAAAACTGAATATGATGACTTGATTGCATTAAAGATCTGAACGTAGACGGAACAACTCAATCCGTGTATTTTTTCAAGCATCATTGATTTGAAGTCGTTCTCTCCACGTAGATACTTGACTTTAACACAAGGTGGATTGTATGAATATATGCAATTCTGTTTATCAATATTTTGAAACTTTCGTATACACAAATTGTCAATTAAATTTCCCATTTGTGCACTTGCGCAGAATATGTAACCAACATGGTTTAGATTAACCCGACTAATCCAGTTGTTTTATTCCCATAATTCCAATCATAAATCTACTAAAGACAATTATTACAACAATCAGAGAATTATTATCATGCTCCAAAACAAGCAATCAACTTTTAATTATTTTTTTTCATGTGTTTTCATGAATTTCGAGAATTTATACCATATAAATATCTGAATAAGTTTAATAAACTTGAATACCCTTAATATTAATATTTTTTGATAAATGCAAGGACGTATAAAACGTCCTTGATAAAAGTAAGGAGAAGGAACCCAGGGCGAACGTACTCTATGAGTGAAAGAACTCAGGACGAACAGACCAAGGGCGAACATGTAAACAGGGCGAACCGACCGGATACCAAATTCACGCATGCGTGCTACAAAAATCTACATTAAAAACATCCGGTTACAAGTAAACAAATAACGTTCATGTAAGATGAGATGAAATCTAATAATTTACATCAATAAAAGGGTATATATTTTTACATTAAAACATGAGAAACTATAACACTAACGATAGTGATTGTTTTCCAAGCCTAATTTACAAATTAAATGATGCAGATGCTTAATCATGTGTAAAAATCGGTGTCAAGAAATGGCACGGAAGTTGTTATGATATTGTAATACACAGAAAAGGATGCGGCATACAACCTGGTAACGGTTCAATGATTTTACAGCCGGCAGTAAAGGCTTTCAGAAGACTTGAAGTCTTCTTCCACCAAAAACCAGTTTGGATCTTATATAGACCGTACATGTTTTGCTTGTTTGGCTTACTATCGGAATCGTTTTCTCACCTGGTGCTCAAAAGTGGATTTCAGTTTTGTTCAGATTTATTAATCGATCATTTAGTTTTATTCTCTGTATTTGTGGATTAAATAATGTGTCTACTCCCCAGACTCGCAAAGTTTTTCATTGATGTCCAGTATCTTCAATCTTCCCGTCCCTTGGTGATTGACTGATAGTTAGTTGCTTAACGTCAAATAGTTCATACAAATAAAAGGACGAGAAGAAATTAACAATAGATCCAATTGGTAGGTTATGCTAATAAAATTGAAATTTCTGCTGCCACTCACTGAGAAAATAAAGGTATTTGTATAGAAAAAGATATTGAGCCTTGCAACAGGTCACCTTCGAACCACGGAAAGAGCTGTTGCAAGTGCCCACTATTAGAGAGCATGACACTCTTTTTACGTGATACATCGGATTCACGACCCATTTTGACCAGACGTGACTGCGTATTTTATTTATACATCCCGCGCAACCAAACGCAAACTCAAGTCATCGTAAGCATGGGTTTTACTGCCCTATGGAAATAGTCCAGGAATATCCATGATTTTATACTAAAGTTAAGACTTTCCCTAATTAGTGAGTATATAACATTGTATTTGTATTTCAAAAGTATTGTGTTTTCTATGAAAGTCTTAACTTCAAATGAATTCTATGAACCTAACAGGAACTTAGGATAAGTTGAACGTGTCTTTGTATTTATAAAATATAAAGTTATTATCATTCTTTAGACCATTGTAAGTACACGTTGCACAGATCATAATACTTTAGTTGTGATTTTCAATTTTTAAAATATTTTCTCTTCTAATCGTGTAAAACTACATTCGCTTGAAACTCTATAGGAAGAATTATTTGGAGACCGTCTATAAAATTCCTAGTTTTATTTTATCCACTAACAAGTAATAAGGCAATTAAATGGCATTGCAGACAGGTATTTTACATTCCAATTCTATGCTTGCTAAGTTGCAAAAGTCTTAAAATTTCGATCATTTGAGCTCTATCTATATATATAATTTAAAATTCTTTCAGCTCTAATTCGTTGATCATTCATTCATTACGAGATTTTGTGGTTTTTAGATGCAGTTTGTCTGTATACTGTATGTCAGATACTGAAATAAACAAACTTAAATACACGTTTCAATGTTTAATAATCATTTATAACAAAATATAAATAAATAACGTCAAACATCTTCAGGCATTCGCACGAAAAATTTAGCAGTAACTTGCATCTCATGTTTTATCATTTAAAAGTATGTGTTTCTTCAAATTTCAATACAGATAAACTTTAAAATGTCTGAAAATAATAAAAAAAAAATAATATATATCACAATGATTAACAACATGAACAAAAAGCATTAAACACATTTTTTTGTAAAAACAACCGCTTAGGAAAGTAATTTATCATTTCTATGTTGATATTTGAAGATTATATCAAAATTACAAACGTATCATTTTTCGGCAGCCCTTATTTTACCTAGACAAAAAGACTATTTTTTCTCATTTGTCTTTTAATGGTATTTGCATTGTATTAACATGCAAAGAAGATAAATATTGCACTTATCTTTATCATACAAAGCAATGAATTGTGTATACATATTTTGTTTCATACAATCCAGTCTTTGTTGGCTTAACCGAGAAACGAAAGCGTTTACATACTTCAGTACTTAACATGTGCACTTAATTACTCCAAAATGTGAAAATAAAAATAGAATTTGTCCATTAAACATTTTACCAAATCATATTTTTAGCAAGAAAAACCAAGAACCGTTTGCAGCAAATGGCAGAAATATTTTAAAAAAAACTATAACCAACAACAAACATGTAGACGTAATACAACAATAGAATCACTTAGTCAGTATTAACTTGTATTTAAAAAATTACAAAATGATAAAATACTTTCTTAAAAGCACACGTAACATTAATTTATTGTGGTCTAATACGCTTCATTACAACGACGTAATGTATTCTTTAAACTCTTGTTTTCTTCTATAAACGAGATCATATTTCAAAACCATTTGACGACAGAAACAATGAACATTTGCATCGTGAAAGCATACAACTTCATAAAAAGTTTGTCTAGCGTAGTATAAAGCAAACTTTAATATCATATGATTACCATTTGAGTACTTAACCAGATATTGCGTCTCTCATGGACATCAGTCTGATTACTTCAGTAAATTTTAATTAACAACCAGACGCGTGCGACTGGTATAACAAGAGCTGATTACCATCCAGAGAAGCTAAGGCTAACCCTGGTTCGGTAGGGTTCCTATAATTCAAACTATGTTTCTGTGCAGTGTTTCTCCGACTTGTGGTTGTATTTTCATTTTTAGTTAGTTAAAGAGTTACATGACTTCTCTGGCTTACTTATTACTAGTCCCTTTGGAATCTTCTTATTTTTTCATACACTAATTAGACATTGCTGAGACAATTGTCACATTTTGATTCATTAAAAGTATATCTTAATACATGCATGTTTCTTATAAACACTGAAAAGATATCTACATATAAAATTTATAAATGAGAACAAAAAAACAAATATTCATGAGGTTTCGACTTGATATATTTGGATTTTCTCCATTACACTTGCAATTCATTACTTTTGTGATATATCAAATTTTTACATGTACAAATGTATAAAGCAAAAAATTTTTATGAGGATAAAGGTAAAAAGCGTCTGTGCTATTTTACTTTTTTCTGCTAGGCCGCAAGAGGGATTGACAAATAAGCTTTAGAAGGGAAATTGACAACACACCAAGACAAAAAGGCACACAGATAATGATATGGATCACACAAAGGCTTCCAGGAAATGCCGGTCAGTGTTGTCCTTTATGCTATAATCTAAATTAAAAGCTGCTTTAAGTGTTAAATGTCAGAAAAATAGATATATTTTTATTTCCATTGGCAACCAAGTGGTAATCAATATTTATCTATTTATCTTCAGATTCAATCTTCTTCTTCTTTGTTTTTTGGGGAGATCTTTTCAACGCCTTTCCACTTCAATTTCTCTAATTCTTCAGGATCAAAGTAAGACAAAGGGTCGTCATAATCAATGAAATCATCGTATTCCATTTCAAGGTTATCAGAGGTGATACTTCTACTTGGCGATAACGTCAGTTTACTTTTAGAACTATGAACGCTTCTCGGTGTGGAAGTCTTTGATGATTGTGTTAATGAACTTTTTGGACTTTCTCCATCGGGTTGTGGTAATCCTTTATTCCTATCACCAAACTTTCTTCTCTTTTCTGAAGATACAGAATTAGATGAGGGAAAGTTTTTGTGAATCTCTGTTAAAGACGTTGGTCTTGGTGGACGTTTTTCTGATATAAATGACGTAGTTTGATCGATGTTATCAGGTGATGACGATTCGTCTGACGCACCTGACGCAGGATTTCTTGTTTCCTCTGTCTTTGCTAAAGACACCAGTGGTATATCTACCTTTTCATGTTTGACAGTTTCATTTTGAACACATGGTGGTTTAGAATTAGTCGGAGTTAGAGTATCGTGTGAATCAGGACTTTTGACCGGTTCAAAAGACTTTTCCTCCACAACAGGGGTATCATCAGAACCAGGGACTATTCTTTCTTCTATGTCTTTAATTACCTTATCACTTTTACTTCGCCGTCGTCTCTTGATTAATAAATCATATTTACTGTCAGGAGATGTAGGCGTTTTTGCTTTTGATGAATGTTTAAATCGCGGTGATGGGTGAATTTTTGGAGATCGAGGTTTTCTATTCAATAAAGGACTAGTGTTAAACAGACTTTGCCTGTCCGAACTATCATCTTTAATTGCATTTAATTTAGGACTAGGCATAGGACTATACTGCTTAAGAATAGGCTTAGGACTACACTCTACGGTTGCTTTAACTTTCACTTTTAATCCGCTTCGATTACTTGATATAGATGAACCACGTGACACTCGACCGTTATTGTCCTTTTTCTTTCCTCCTCCTGTTAAAGGACGCTCCATGTCATAATCAATTTCAACACCACTTCCAGCACTATGATGACTTGGTGAACTGTGCATGCTGGTACTTTTGGCGATATGAGTGGGCGTTTCCTCATGAGCAGCCATTGAATACTTATGTTTCTTACGATAGAAAAATTTGTGATATATAGCAAGAACACATAATATAAGAACTACGGTGAGACAGAGTGATATCCCAGCAATTGTAATAGTACTTTCCCAGATGCTTGACTCGTGGTGCGAGCTTAGAGATATCGTATCAAATACAACCGATGATGTTGAATTGTCAACTGAAAAAGAAGAAAAAATACACCATGTAAGCGAATTGGTAATTTATCGTTCAGTAGGTTCGTGTTTCTTTTTTTTTCAGTCTGTGTAAAGTTTTTGTTCAACAATATTTGTCTCTTTTATCAAGGCATTGTCTGGTCTTTAAATATACAGTACGTGAGTGTCCTCTTTGTGTAGTTTAACATTTTATACAATTGACTGATATACGATACTTAGTATTTTTTAATTCTGTAAGTAATTTCAATACTGTCAGAATATACTGTATACCTTTTCAATTAATTCGTGTGTGTGTGTGTGTGTATATATATGATTTTTTTTCAAATTCACAAATACAACTAACTTCATGTACATTATATAATTTCAAAATTACGTAACACTTATTTTGTCGTCGTAATACGAAACAGTATATATTTTTTAGAAAATGTGTTTAAAAGTCTTATATTTGTTTTATTACATAATATACAATTTCGTCTAACCCAATGACAGAGAGCAGATCAGATTAGCTTTCGTTGTTTGCAGTTTATGAAGTATGGGCTTGTTTTGAGATGATATAGTACATAATTGGTTTGTTTGTGACAATCTAGGTGTTGTAATTTTGTTTTATGAAAAGCAAATTTTACGATTTTGTGTTGAAGTATTCTACAATAAGTTTTCATTTTTTTCGAGAGTAAAAATATTTCAGCAGTTGTTTTATTTAATTAAATATGCCTGTGCACAAACACAAATTCACTACTGTAAACATTAATATAAAGTCAAAAGACCTTGTTGGGGCTCATGCAATTCAATCATTTTTTGGGGGTTTATTTTACCTTGTATCTTTTGAATGGGTTCATGAGATTTGAATATCAGTTAACCACTGCTGCCTCTAACTTATTCAGTCAAATTGTTATTTGGCTAAGAGACTTAAGAATGTTATTATTATAGTTTGTTCTTATATTATGGACGTTACAACACAACAACAGGTTAGGGAGAGGGTTGACAGCTTTTTTTTTCAACTCCGCCACATTCTTGATGTGTTAGTCTAAAGTCATGAACCTGTAATTCAGTGTTTGCTGTTGGTTGCGTTCTGTAGTACTTGTTTTTCGTTTGTTGTTCTCATCATAGATTTAGGCCGTTAGTTTTCTGGTTTGAATTGTTTTACATTTAGTTATGTAGGGGGTCGTCTATAGCTTACTATACGGTTTGCATATGCATGGGTGTTGCTCATTGCCGAAGACCGTACATTGACCCATAGTTGCATATATCCAAGTCATTTTGGTCTCTGGTTGTTATCTGGCTCATTGGCAATCACACCACAACCCTTTAATTTAATACTGATTAATAATAGTAAGCCGAGGATGATGATGAATTGATGTTTAAAGTCTATAGGCATATCAAATGCATATTTAGGACAAGAACATGTTACAAAACGTAATGTGAAATGAATATGAACCCTGCTTTGTACCAGACCCACACACCAAGCCGGATTTTAAACGTGCTAGCTCAAAGGGTATAAGTTCGCGAGAAGACATGTCAAACTACAAGGACACATTATTCTGCATATGAGTCGACTAGTATTTTAGGTCTTTTTAGTCATTAATGCCGCGAGTCTGCCTGAGAAGCAGAAAATACCAATTTTCAAGTCTTTGGTTTGACCAGACTGTGAACCAACCCCACGCGAGGCGATCACGCTACCACTAGACCACGGAGGAGGTTAAATATTAGTTTGAATTATTCTCCTGTATATTATATTGTGATGTGTACAATAAAGAAATTTATTATTTTCAGTCTTACCTTCCGATTTATATGTGGCAATGAATCCATATGATGAGAGTTTATGTGATAAAAGTCCTTGGCTTTGTGGATCAACTGCAAGAAGCCTACGGTGATACAATAATGGTACTGAAACATTAAATCTCGTCTTGAATTGGATAAGTAGCTTATTTGAGGACGATACCACTTTAGAAATTTTGATTAGTCCATAACTTTGAGCAAGTAAGTTATCATTTGACTTGGCGCCATCTCTGACACGGAGCCACTGCTCATCCATCAGAATGTTAAAATACTGAAATATGAGTATTATAATGTGTCCTTTCGCCACAGAAATAGTCCATTGGGATATTCCTTTGCATCTTCCAGTGCCGATAATTTCCCCCTTGGAAGCATTCAGGGTGCACCCACCACATGCACAACCACCCTCTAAACGAAGATGCTTGAGTGGTGTATCCGGAACTATATCTTCGTCTAGAATTAACAAAAAAGTTTTAAAAAGATTAGAGTATTTGAAAATATTCTTCAGTTGAGAAATAATCATTTATAGAATATACATTTTTGCAACAGACGTATAATTTTGTAGCTCATGTTATCAGTTTTAGTGTTCAGACATTTTGTTTCTATGCGTTCACCAATATTGTCATAAGAATACTGTCAGTCATTTTGAGTGTTTGAATACCAATAGTTTCGTGAAATTAAATCATTTGTCATCCTTTTTGTATAAGAAAAAAAGGAAGCACACGATACAAAAAAATCCAAGAAAAAACAAGGGAATTACTATGGTGTATCAATTTAATGTTAATAAATAAGGAATAAATATCACAACGGCTTGCCATAGTATCAAATATCTACGCAATAGGATCATTTATTTTCGCAGTTGCTAGAAGGTTTTCAACAATGAATTAACTTTAAAGAAAGGTCGAAAGGACCCGAAATGTCGACTTATTGCTTCGCATCACGGTGCGAAGCTATTAGTTTCATACGATATTCACGCCATCTTGAAATTATTACGTAACAAATATCGGTTCTCATTGGTTGCCTTATGATTTTGGAAAGATTCTATTGGCTAGAATGAGATATAGGATTGGGAAAATATCCCGAATAGGAGAAGATATCACATACGGCAAATTTACAGAATGGGTATTGAAGATCCGACCTGATACCCGATTAATGACTATTTTGCTCGGGCAGTTAATTTTGAATAATTGATAATGTTAAAGTGGATAAAAGAGTGCCCAATTTGTAATTTTTCGCACTACTGTGTGAAGCTATAAGTTTCATTCGATATTCACGCCATCTTGAAATTATAACTCAACAAATATTGGTTTTTATTGTCTGCATCATGATTTGGCTAAGTTTATATTGGCTACAATGTGATATTAAATAGAATTGGGAACATGACAGGGGGATATCAATTACGGTATATAAGGAATAGAATTGCAGTATGGTATATTCAAGGCCCGATCAAAAATTATTGCTGCATGTTGACGTAATTTATTGTAGTGCGAAGCACTACAATACCTTTTTAGAAAGGTTAAACTTGTATGGTACTAATAAGTATTCACTGATGACTTCTACATACATATAAGGAACATATAACATAGATAATCTACAAATTGCAAATTACATTGAATATGTCACCCAATAAAATAAATCATTTGTTGACCGGCAAATGAATATGATCCTAAATTGTTAGTTAATTTACACATTTGGAATAATACGCCAAGGTAGATTCTTTAAACAAATTCAGCATACAATGATCAATGTTAGCTGTTGTTGTCTCTTATAACGTAATCGGCGTTATTTGTCCCTTGAATCTATGTAGCCTGTCATTACGTTTATAAACTACAAACTGTATAACCAATTAGTGGTTCAGATTTTAACCAAAAATGAATTCAACAATTTATGACAGGTTTAAGGTGTGCAAGTTAAATGTTTGTATATACCCTTCAAAAAATTGTTGATTGAATATAAAACATACCAGTAAATATACCGCAGATTTATGTTGCAATAATAGTATGACATTGACTACGAATTATTCTTGTAGCAAATAACAGTTATGATATGAGGGGGTGGATAGGGGGTATCCTTCTCCCACCTCCCGCCCCCTATCTCCCACCTCCCACTTTTAGATTTTTTTTTCTCTTCCACCTATTTTTTTGTCTCCCGCCCCCCTTTCTCCCACCTCCCACCTCCCCTTCTCTCACCTTCCGCCCCACCTCCCTCAAAAGCTGTCCACCCCCTCTGATATATATGATGTAAGGAGCTTTTTTGATAATCAAAATATCATCTCAATATCGAGTTTTGCTCTTTTTCATCTACATTTTGTACAGAGTAGTAAACATTGTGCATTCCAAACTTATATGATTCCTACAAAATATGTGTAGATACTAATATCCTTACCTGAACACTCCGATACACATGGTCTGAATTCGACAGGGAAGCCATTACAGAACCTCCCTCCATTGGCCGGTTCGGGGTCTGTACATGTTCTTCCGCGACTCCGTTTGCCAGTGCCACATGAGACACTACATGTACTCCATTCAGACCACACTGCCCATTTACCATCTATTGGCAAAACTGTAAATAGTTGTTAGTTTGATTAATTAAGATTTTAAGTTATGAATCTAAACGGCACACTAATTATTCTATTACTTTTTTCCAATTGTGTACTTTTCTATGTCATGTATATATATATATATATATATATATATATATATCATATTTTGACTCTTTCAAAATTCAAGAGTCTATCCTAAATTGAGGTAAATTATTTGGCCTTCCAAATACCGTTTCGATTCCTAACATCACTGAAGAGACATTAATTGTCGAAATCCGAATATTGTGTACAAATTTTTGCACCTCGTGTTTGGGGTATACCATCTTTTCCGCAAGTTTATTGTTTTCTGTTTGGTAATAAATAAATAAAAAGATCTATTTTGTTACATCTTGTGATCCGTTTATTTGGCAATCGCCAATGGCAGTCAGCAGGGTTTAAGAACATCAGTTATTCGACCTGCTAGTCAAATGCGTTTTGTTAAAATATACTTTTTCACTTTTTTTTGGTCTTTTGGAAAATGTTGTTTGTGCTGTATTTAGACCCCTCTACCAAGAAATTTGTTTTGCATGCACACGTATAAAAATTGCGGTTTTTATCCAACGCAATCATAGGTTTGAACGTTGTTTTCAATTTGGACTTGTATATATATAAAGAAAAGTTAAGTAGAATCCGTATGCTGGTAACATATAAGAAAATTACGGTTTCAATTCATCATCATTAATAAAAGATAATAACGGTTTCAGTTCATCACTTTTACTAGCGCTTTCACTGCTTTTACAGATCTTCATATATATATATTTGTTTATGTAGAATTGTTAAAGTAGAATCCGTATGCTGGTAACATATAAGAAAATTAATAAAAGATAATAACGGTTTCAATTCATCACTTTTACTAGCGCTTTCACTGCTTTTACAGATCTTTATATATAGATTCTACCACTGCATCGAGTGTGATACGATATTTATCCACTCGAGACAGTTAAATTTTCATATTTAAAACGCGAGGCTCGTCGAGCGTTTTAAATATTTAAAATTTAACTGTCGAGAGTGGATAAATATCGTATTACACGAGATTTGGTGGTGGAATCTGTTTCTCTAATGATTTTCAAACAATACGCAGGCAAATTTATTCCTTCTTTTCGAATGATCTGCAAAAAGATGTGTTCTTTCTATGTGACGTCATCAGGCATGGTCGCCTTTTTTCATGTCGTCACAATAGGAAATTCAGGGGAAAGCAAGAAAATTCGACGTCATAATCGGATTTTAACCACTGAAGAACTGAGATCAAACGAACCACACGTTGATTAAATTTTTTTTATACAATGGGTGCAGAAAGGGATAAATTGACGAACAATTAGAGAAATATATATATTTGTTTATGAAGAATTGTTCCAGTTACAAAATTAACTAACATGTATTTTTTTACATGATCCTTTGGGAACAGGATCTGCTTATCCTTCCGTGAGATAACACTCGGTTTTTTGTGGTGTTCGTGTTGCTCAGTCTTTATTTTTCCATGTTGTGTTTTGTATACGTTTGTTTGTTTTTTTGTCATTTTTCGGTTTTTGGTATGACATAGTCAGTTTTATGAGGTTCAATATCACTTCAATATCTTTTGGGTCTCTCTTATGTACGAATCACAATAAGATAATACTGTTTGTTATTCATACGGATAATTGTTAAAAATAGAGCCGTTTAAAAAATAAAAATGAGACAACATACACAACAGTAGACAAATGTATGCACAACGATAAGAAATGACAAAAGGAGACATTGAATTAGTTAACGAATTATTTTTTGTTTGATACAAATAAAAAATAAATGTGACACATATCGAAACAGGATAAAATATTTAAAAATGCCGAGGAAGGGACACTGGAATGAAACAAAACGTGGTTTAAAAGCTGAATAAAAAAATTATAACCGTTGACACAGTAAGCATTCAATTACCACTGAACGACAACTTCAACCTTTAGGATTTCCTAGCAAAGAGCCGTTTCACCAAGCTTAGTAACGATAATATTTAGGTAGTGCAGGGTATTTTGGAATACAATACAATAACCGGACAGTGATACCATATCCTTCAGCAACGTGTATGCTGTGAAGGGTGAATATGACAAATTGTGGAAAACTAGATCAGTCTGAATAATTCAGTTCAGAATGACAACAAATCAGTCACTGTTATAACCACAACTATGTTATTTGTCAGAAAATACCTTAGGGACGGTTTGATTTTTTCATGGTTTACACTGTATTGTACATAAAAGAAATTATATTTTCCCTGAAATTCATTAATTGCCCTCAATTATTAATCGAATATAAATCTGACATATCTACATTCTAATTGAAACAAAATGTGTGTATAATAATAAGTAGATCTGGTTTGATTGACAATAAGACAACTCAATGATCCATCGTGGACAAAATGAAGTCACCGTAAGAGTTTCAATAATGAGAAAAATCCATAAGCTATAAAAGGTCCCTACATGACAAAATGGAAAACAATGCAAACGAGAAAACAAACGGCCTGATTTATTATAAAACAATGAATTTATAAACGACAGACAGCAACCAACGACTACCACTGAATCACACTAGTATCAGCTGACGAGAAAAAGGGCACCATACGTAATAATGATAATAATACAATTATATTTCATGTCAAACAGCATTCACCATATAAAACATTCCGAATTATTTCTCGGCCAATATTCGGATTTTTCCACAGAAAGAGCTCTTCTTACAGAAATTTGATTAAATACAGACACAGGGTATAAAAACAACATTGTCACAAGAACAGACTTTGTCCTGTATACGATTTGGGATGCTAGCTCCAAAACACAAAGTTTACTGGAAACAGAAACCAGTCATACAGATTGGAATGTTTGAAGCGACGTAAAACATGGTTGAAACTAATGTTTCATGGGCAATCACCAGTACCACGTTAGGCCTGATATGGTATGGCGTCAGTCGCATATGAGCGCAAAGGTAATCGTTTTAGATGTTTGTCCAGTATATGAACATTGACTTTTGAATACACCTTGAGGTTAAGCACATCACATAATGTTTTTTACTTTTTCTGTCATCGAAAATGGTAGGCTATGAGATAGATTGTATTGTAGATACAAATATAAACACTACAGCAATATAAAAGCGCCTTTGATCGAATAAAACTATACTGTTTGATCTTCTTAGGTTTTATAGTGTAATGTTCAATTTATACTACTTTTCAGTGATTTTCTATTTTGTTTTCTGAAATCAAAGATTTACGGCATATTGTTAAACGGTGAATGCATGATTGAGGTATATATATAAAACATTGAATCACTTAAGTAATGTCAGTCTGAAAGTTTAGATTACAATATCTGCTAATCGAAAAAGTAAAATATATAAAGTACAACATTAATGTAAAGTGTCAACCTTTATGACAATCTCAAGCGATCAATACAGTTTTTAATCACGTATTGATTTTCCAATCAATCGACCCAGTGCACGAAGCAGAACAATATGTGGGAACAACATGCAATATCTACATAATGATAATCTTAATGACTAGGTGTGTACCAGGAAAGTACTGAAGCGGAATCATAATAGCAGGAAGATTGTTAACTTTAATTTCAAAAGACATGTTATATTTTCAAAATCTCAGATACAACTTATTTTAATTTACTTGCTTCTATATTGGGATCATCAATACGCTTTGATGCTCTTTCATATCATGTCAGAAGAAAAAATAGAAAAAAAATATTCGAGAACTCATATATCTTTAGTGGAAAGGATAAAAACATTGACTTAATTCATCATTCTTCTTGGAAGGTGGAAACAAATACCAAATACGTCTTAAGCGCGAAAGAGACTATGCGCATTGATACCATACACATCTCATGTAACCCGTCTTGCACATTCGCTAATGCCTGTGATTGGAAAAAGGGCCACATGTCTACATATCATTAATACCAATATATGATGAACTTACATATATTTCTTTATACATGGCCAAATCTATTTTATGTTCCTCGTTATAGGCCCGTTAAATTCCATTTGATATTATTCAAAATAGTTCTTTTTTTTAAATGGTAAAAGAAATATCTATGAGAGACAATAAAGCTTTATATAAATAAATTAAATGTATTTTGAAACGCTCCATTAGTTTTCCTTCTACCGGGATTGCTTTCAAAAGCAGGTTGTAAGAAGCTTAAAATAATATATCGAAAACAACACTGAAAATCATGCATAAAATACACAACACATTTATTTTATTTTTTACTTACTCAAAATGATCCCATGAGAGGTGTTAAATGAGGCGAAAAGGAAAATAAATTATTTAAATATTAGCAGAACGAAGGTAAATGAAACACTGTATTGACTTCATAAAGATAATAACATAGATAGAGGTAAATACACCTGGTTAAGTTGAAACGTCCGGGTAACGTATTCATATTGAAATCACCCATAAATTATAATATATTAACTATTATTTGTGGCTAATTTAAATAAATTGAAATGCATTTGAGGTAAGTGACATATGGGTGATCTATTAGCATTAGGATCATTCATCATTTGAAGAGGGTCTCGTTAAATATCACTTGAATAGTACATTTTTGTTATTGTTTGCTTTAAATCTCTAGCGATGAAATATATAATACTTTTTTCATTTTTGCTTTCAGCTACGATAATCACCCAAAAGTGAAAAGACTTTTTATCATCAGCATATTTGGTGAACGAGCTAAATATGAAGGAAATATATCGGTGTCAGCTTTAATATCATAAATTAGTGCTTAAACGAACAAATATAGGTGAAAATAACGGAATTGCATTTATTCAAAACGAGAAAATACTAATTACTGCAACGACAAACTTGTCTAATTTAGATACCACTTAATTCTTTCTAGCAATGTAACGTGACGATTACACAGTCGATTTTCTATGATTGCAAAAGCGTATTTGGTTGATTTATATTTGTTTTATGTCGATTTTAGTATACTGTAACGCTCATGAATTTGAAAATTGTTCACTTTAAATAAAATTTATTACTGTCGATTTCCGCATATAATGTAAAGAATTTCCGGAGCAGACCTTAACTACTGCAATATCTTAATAAGAAATTAATTGAATAGGAAGTTCAGTCAAATGCATTTTAAAAAATATTCTATACATACTAGTAATTTTTCATTTGATTAGAATTTAAATAATAGATTTTGCGTTATAATTTTGTTTATTCAAACAAGTGTCTACACATATACTCCAAGTGCATTTAAAATTTCTAAGGTCGTTCTTCAACAAAAACCGTTCATATTAAAGTACACGAAGGGATTTTGTAGTCTCTACATTGTACACTCATACTAAAAAATTTCAACAAAAAAAAAGAAATACAAAGAAGCCAGTTGTATGTCATATCCACAATAAAATGTACTTATCTTAACGATATCGACAAATTTAATGTGATTGGCAAGTAATATTAAAGATAAGATAACTAAAATCACAAAGCACTATATTTATCAGTTAAAGTTCCAATAATCTACTTAAACATCGATAGGTTAACATGTTTTGAAATAATATGGTGTGCTTGTCCTTATGGAATCAATATTAAGCTCTTTGTCAGACAAACACAATATTGACTTTCCATCTTGACTTTGAACCTGCTACAGATTACAACAAAGACGCCCAATAATTGTCAATCTGTCAAGTATAATATTAACCTGGTCATCAAAAACTATCAATGGCTTCATATTATCACGTTGTAATTGGCAGAATGGAATTATTTACAAGGAACCTGAAGGGTAGATGGCTTAAAAGAACTCTCTCTTTCTATATCAAACCCTTTATCTTGCTATCCTTCCAGATACTCAGTATTCTAGCATATTTAGGAGAGCATTTTATTAACAAGATGTATTTACTAAATGATTTCTTAACTATAAGTTCAAAACAAACCTCTCGTATCCTCAATAAGAAGTCCAAGAAATAATTTGTCATTCTAATTTGGATTAGTTTGTCTTCAGTTTCCAAGAAAGATGCACATAAACATGGCTTTAAAGACGGCTGATTATTTTTACTGTTTCCTGACTATTTCAGAACTTTATATGAAGCCTCAGACAACTAATTATTTTTACTGTTTCCTGGCCATTTAGAACTTTATATGAAGCCATATGTGATATTTAAGACCAAGTCATTACAGATAAATTGATATATAAGAAAAAGTCACGACACCAATATTAAGCTTCTATATCAAAAGTATAGAAAAAAAAACTAAATGCATTTTGATATATTTACGTCATATCATTATCTTTTATGTTCATATTACATTAAATATTTAAATTACAGAATAGATTGGGTATTTCAAAGTATTGCATTGGAACTTGATTTCTAATCAAGAAACCAAAAAATGTGATTAATATCTGATTAAAACTTGTTTGTACACATTATAGACAACAGAATCAGTATTCGAATTACGTAAATTGTGCTTTTCATGTCAATGAAACTCACCTCTGATATTTAACTTAAAACTTTTTAAACTTTTAAAGGAAAATCGCTAGTATATATATTAAAGGCTTAAAATACTAAGTCTTCATAGAAAATTTAAAAAATGGATGCCTAATAGTTATATATACCTGTATTAGGATGGGCGGAAATGCATACATCATCCTGCTCAGTAACAGAACCATCAGATGCCATATTGACGTATACAAAACAATACCCAACTGCTTTAGCGTCAAAATAACCACAAGGAAACAGAACAGATGACTGGTTGTTAAATGCTGACTTTTCCGTAACGTATATCCGGTTAAGAGGAACTGCTGGAGATCCTGTCAAGGTACGACGTAAATAGTACATTCGAAGCTGATCTCTATTTCCTGGACACGTAGGCTGTACATACTTCACAGATAAATGACCCTCACATGGAAATACACTTGAAGAATAAATGCTTATTCTGTAAGCAGTACTCCATTGCACATGAAGAATGTTAGACTGAGCTATAACTTCCGAATCGTTATACGTATTACGTAAGACGGCAATATAACGTCCGGCAACTTCAAAAGTTTCACATGTATACTCCACGCTTCCTATTTTCGTGTCTATTTCGTTGAACACTTTCGTATTTTTTATTTCAAAAGTAAGTTTTTTGGTTGACGTTTCATCGTCCTTGGTATGTTCTAAATCTAGATGAAAACTATGGCGTTTCACGGGCGATTTACATTTAGCTTCTGACGTATACCACATGGTCAATGGTTTTGTTTGTGCTATGTGGTGAGATGGAGTGAAAATGAGCTGAAATTTTGGCCATGTGACTTGAAAGGAAATTGTGGTTAGCAAAGGTCCTCCAACATACATATGCAGTTCGATATAATGAACAGCAGCATACTCTATTTCCCCACAAGATATCTTAATCTGACCAACAGGTTTTCCTACTTCTAGAGGACGTGTTGTAATCTCATTCTTTGCTCCAGCCAGTATTCGGATGTACGCATTTGGAAGGGATACAGTTGGTGGTGTTGTGTAATTGATGTAAAGATCTTTTGAGAAGGCAACATATACGTTCGGAACAGACAGTGTATATTTTCCATCTAAAAGTACAAAAATGATATGACGTTATTTTTATACAACGCAACTATTATACTGAACAGATATATCATGTTGTGGAGGGGTATTTGCCGCTAGGCGAGGAAAATTTGTTCCCAAGACTGGTATTTTCGCAAATACCCCTCCATAACATAATATATCTGTTTAATTACACCGAAAAGATTTTGATTGAAACTGTCTGTACATGTGAAGGGAAGTCGTAGTATCGCGGGAATTATACATGTACTTATATGCGTTAGTGCTGTCTTTTTGTAAAGTCATGGTATCTATCTATATGTGTAAACGTCATTGTTATTCCATCATTAAATCGTTCATTTTTATAGACATTTTTCCCCTCTTTATATGTATATTTCTGACAGTTTTCGGTTTAACTCAATCAATAGTGCTAAACCATGTTGTCGGGATAAAGTGAGAAAAGTTCCGAATAATTTTGGCGGGAACAGGCTCGCGAGGGTAAAAAAGGGAATATCCAAAATGGCAAATGCCACGGCAGAGAGGGGAATTTGAGGCAAATTCACCGGCAGTGGTGAAAAAAAACAGGCAAATTCGTTTGAAATGAGGAAAAAAAGTTAGAATATGCGAAAAATACACTGGCTAACAACCAATCAAAATCCGGCATTCTTGAGGTGTAATTAACAAAAAAATACTATTTCAATTCTTATCATTTTGTGTGATTTTTTTTTTACATAGAGTCAATAACATATTATGAATAATCAAAATACGACATAACTATATTCATTATAACTAATCCTTTTTGTCATATAGCTCTCCAACGGTTTCGATTCTTATACATCCTATCCTTTTAAATATTCGGCTTTTAGCGTTCCTGATGAGGAAGGTTAATCGAGAAAAGCGCTTCGGACGCATATACAATAATTAAAGTGTTATTTTCATCGTTATCCATAACAATGTCACTCGAATCTAATTGTTGTATAAAAGAAGTTAATATGAATTTCGCTTTTAAGGTATGTCATTTCCTAGTGTTTTTCGGTATTTAGATAATTGTGTGTTAGTGGCAGATCTTTGATTGTTTCTATTACATTATTCACAACTTTTATAGACTACAGACGATTTAGAGCTTGACATTTTGCATATACACCTTTTTTACACTGAAGACTGTTTGTTTCACGTTTGGCTAAGTTTATAGTTGGGTTTCTGTCTCATTGACGAATACTCAACATATCCTGTTATTCATATTGGGAAAGCAGTAAGCATAAAACGACGAAAAAACGACGGCTGACGATTTCTACATTGCTAGTGTTTCTCCATAAAAATCATTGCAAAACAGTAGCAAGTTTAAGCATGGTTTCTCCCTTGCAAGTTTAATTGTTCTACTGAATGTGCCCTTTGTAAAAGAAATCATAGTCGAGAATTAGTCATTTAATCTGTATTGAACATTTGTGACTTATGTCTCAATAAACATCTGCTTCAACTTGCCAGCAAATGATTCGAAAATGATTTTTTAATTGATCAGGGTTTACTAAGATCGACATGGTATTAATTGGATGAATGGGGTTCTTTAAAAAGCCTTTGTCCAGTTCTCATAAATCTGATTATACGATGATGCAAGGTGTTCACACTAAGTTTCATTTCTTTCAAATTAAGAGTTTGACAAGAGTGTCAAAATTATCCAGTCGTCAGTGTCAATTGAATTTGAAATACTAGGGGTCAATCGTGTTATGTTTACTTTTCAATTTAGCTGAAATGTACATCCTTGTCAATTTCCACCTGCTTGCATAGTTCACATTCCAAACTCTTGCTGGCGACGAATCGTTTAATGAATGAAATATTTATTTTTACTGTGTGGCCATATTGTCTTTTATTTCTTGTTTAATGATACAAACCACCAAAATACATCATAAAATAATGTTATAGGTTTTTAATTTAGATGAATTTGATATCCGGCTGTGTATACAGGTAGGAGATACAAAAAGCTACTATAAATGTAGGTAAATTCTCACCAGGTACTGTCAGATACGGTACAGATGAATAAACATAAGCCGCTTCACCTAACAGCCTTCTTAACAAAATGAACTGATGACTTAGTCCAGGATTAAATTAATTTTTGGGTAATGCACGAAGATGAACTCGTAAACACAGCAGATGCAAAACAACCCTTTTCACAAATAGGTGATTTGTTAGGTAACTATAACTATGTCTATGAAATATTGCTATATTTGTATGTAAGATAGTAATACAATTTAATTTTTGTAAGTGTTAGTGATCATGTTTTAAGTCTGCAACCTTTGGCATTATTAAAAAGGTGAAAAAAACTATTCAAAGGTACCAGGTTTCTAATTTGGTACGCCAGACGTGCATTTCGTTAACATAAGACTCGTGGTATCTTACATCCTAACCCTATATATTTCGAGTTCATGTAGTGAATGCCTTTTGAGATGCACATGAACACATAATTACGATGAAATATTTTTATATTAAAATGTACTTATTGTCCTGTCAAGTTCTTTTTTAAAATATGAATAAAAAGGGATTTTGGGTAAACGTGACATAAACGAGATGGCAACCCAACGACACATATCCAAAAAGACATTGAGAAGTCAACATACGATGTTTTACAATAAAATCTGGTATCTATAGATATATAAAAATAAGAAGTGGTATGATTGCCAATGAGACAACTATCCACCAAAGTTCAAATGAGTGGATGTAAGCAATTATAGGCAACTGTACGGCTATCAACAATGAGAACAAAATGCTCCGGACGCAGCTTGATGCGACCGCAGAGGTCGAACCCTGAACAGTTGGGGCAAGTATGGACACTGCATTCAAGTTTGATACAGTCCAGAAGTTGGATTGCGATTAAACATTTGACACAAAATAGGTTTCTGACACAGAATGAATGTGGCCAAAGAACTGAAAAATTTGAAATTGGACTTTTACCTTTTATGATCCAATATCCAAAATCTAAATACACGGTTAGATTCAGCATGTTCAAGTACACCAAGAATTTAACTTAATTATTTATTAATGGTAAATATGAGCTAAGTTTTTTAAGGGATTCGCTTCATAAAAAATATATATAGCATTCTGAAAATTAATCTATACAGAATAACAAACAAACCTACCATTAAGTTCTTCAAAAAAAAGGCCCGACATGAAAATATGAAACAATTAAAAACAAATATGACAGATCAAAGACAATTACTGTACTACAGGCTCCTGACCATGTGTTCTCTAAAAAAGATTTGAATTTATTTTACAGAGATTATCAAAGATCTGCCATCAACACCGATTTCACCAAATGACGAAAAGTTTTAAGATATGAAAAGATTCCCGACCTCAAATAAACTAGTTTTTTTATAGACCTCAATGCATTTGTGTGAATTTAAACACATGTCCAAGTCTTTTTTCGTGTTTAAACATTTCCACATACATCTTTTCCCCTTGTTTGAAAACTTTGACTGTCAAAATAAACCAAGTAAAAGAAATATTCATATACCCGCCCTTCCAAACACTTTTTTAGTTACAGTACTTAGATATTAAAGTCAACAAACACTTGAGTATCAATTTAATTGACAATTATAAACGTGCCCATCTTATTAAACAGTACACTATTTGCATAGGATGTTTATAATTTGCCTTGCTAAGGAAATCAATGGCTGTTTAAAAATGATTTATACTCGGTAACAATAGCATGTTTAAGTCCTCTACTAACAACTTGATAAACATGTAAACTGACGATTTTAATGGAAGAAAAGTCAATATTTGTTGAAAAAACATTCGAGATCAAGTAGGAATTTTAACGGTTTATCTAAAGTATTTGACAAGGGCTATTGGAACAGATTGATTAATTAATTTGTTTGTCTAAGATGATGTTTTTGGTATCTGCAAATAACTTTTATTTCTCAGTCGACCTAAAATATTTGAACTATAGCACATAACTGTAAAACAATGAAAGGACACCTTTGAACCTTTTTCCTGGTTTGAAATCGAAATGGAATGAGTTTTTTAAACCAACTATATGAACTAATTGGAAATCAGAAATAGAGAGACGGGGAAAGCGAAACCTTTACAATGAAATTTATACAACACAATATAAAAAAACAAACCCACTTTAAACTTCACCATTGCTAATACAAACTCGTAACAATATTTCCCTTCCTCGTTCAGGAAGTCGAAGCAAAGATACGTCAAATTTGTCTGATAGACACTGTGCCATGAGATTTTTCATTAATTAAAGAAATACACATTTATACAGTGAGGGGTTGAAGGCATATTATTTAACAAATTAAAATAATAACTGTTTGGTGAAACCTTGGACATACTATAGTGTTAGTTATCCTCTTCACATGTGTAACATTGAAAATTCTTACTAAAAACCGGCTTGGTGGTCGTTTGAATATGAAAATATAGAGCACCTAAATGTTAATTTCCCATATCATATCAGTCCGATTAGGCTTCATTCTACATCTGTGATCACAAGCCTAACGATGTGTCTATGATCAGCAAAGCACGCAATCATAGCTTTCGCTACAAGTGTACTTCAAACAGGATGAAAATGTGGAAAAACAATGCATTAAAACGCTCCCGCAGGTTGCATCACACACATTGATTTTTTTATATGATAACATTTCAAAAGAAAGAGAGGACAGTTATTCTTCTCTATTGGCTACCGTTGACATATGTTGAATTATTTAAATTTTTTTTCTATTGAATTGAATTTCAGAAAATGGCGTTGTTTATTTTAGTCTTTATACATCATTTTTTTCTACACTTCGGGTTGTTAAACTGTTAAGCACTATATCAGTATTCAAACTTAGAGATATAAAGCAGACGTCTGTCGATAAGTACAATAGAAAAAGGTATTTAATTCAAAGTCTTGAAAGAAACAGGAAGTCCACTCAGTGCTAAAAGAAAGTAACAATATACTAACAAATCTTCGTATTTTGACACTCCATGGTATGTACTTTTAAATCCAATCTCCTTCAGAAGGAAATATAATATATTTCCGATAAAAACACATATAACATTATTCCCCTTCGTATCTATTTAGGTAGAATTCTACTGGTCTCAAAACATTCCAAATAGAACAAAATAAAAATATAATAAAATATGGTATAAAAAAGAATTTAGTAAATTTTATATGAACTTTTTACAGATTTCGTATTTTGATAGAATCTCAATGATAATATCATAGATGTATCTATGATAATATCAACCAAACAATAAAGCTATAATAAAAGGATCGCAAAAAACATACAAAGATGAAAGTAAAAGACAATACTTCATTAGACATTCCTTTCATGTGCACCAAAATAACATTGTATACCATGTTATAGACTTCTTAAAGATTGTTATTACTTAATTGTGTTTTATATATACATGCTGCATTTTGTTTGTTGTTTTGTTACATATTCGGATTGCTTTGAAATCTTTAATTTTATATATATATAAAACAACAAACAAAATTGCAGCATGTATATGTAAAACACAATTAAGTAAAAACAATCTTTAAGAAGTCTATAACATTGTATACAATGTTATTTTGATGCACATGAAAGGAATGTCTAACGAAGTATTGTCTTTTACTTTCATCTTTTGTAGGTTTTTTTGCTATCCTTTTATAGCTTTATTGTTTGGTTGATATTATCATTGAGATTCTATCAAAATACGAAATCTGTAAATATATATATATATATATATATACAAGTCTAAATTGAAAACAACGTTCAAACCTATGATTGCGTTGGATAAAAACCGCAATTTTTATACGTATGCATGCAAAACAAATTTCTTGGTAGAGGGGTCTAAATATATATATATATATATACCGTGGATTAAGGTTTTTAATACACATTGAAAATGTACAAAGAAAAGACATGGTTTTCTTATACTCTTTCTCACCTTGAATTTTCGATTCAAATACCCCATGTGTCTACAGTTTAGATACCGTATATTTATTTTTTAATGTGTGTCCGCCCAGTCTGATTAGGAACGTTAGATCCCTGGCACTTGGGGTGTACACAATATCCAAGCAACCACTCTTCAGAAAGGTCAATAGGTGAATTGCTGTCAGGCTTAATTTATTACCCTTCTTAACATGCGCTCGTTTTCTGGTGGCAGTAAAATTTACACACCCCTTCTCTCTGTCCATTTTCGTTCTTTAATCTTGATTATAAATTTTGTTTTTTCACTAGTCGTATATCATAAGAATAAAACCATCAACATACGTTTTTGCTTGTATGAACCATATCAAGAGAAAAATACAAAATTCCTCCTCTTTGATTAGTCAAACCCTATAGGAAAGACTATTGTTAAAGGAACAAAGTTGACCAAAGCTGATATAAATGTGGACCGCAGTAGGCCATTGAACAAATTGTAAATACATATGGCAACACTTTAATGTGGAAGAATCCGTGCACATTGGTCTTTTTTCGGGATTTTTAGTTTCTACAATAAATCAATGTATCTCATATTGTTTCATTTAATATGTCATTTCTCCTCAACGACAAAATTTTGTCACTTAATTTATTAAAGTTATAACTGACAAGTTGTATGGACAAAACTTCTTGAACTAGACTTTAAAGAAACTTGTTATCATATTGTAAATACAAGATACTTATAAGTATACCTTAATTTTATCTAAGATCTGTCAATAACCTCTTTTATTTATGATTTAAGATATGTTTGCTCAGTGACAATTCAAAAAGTCTGACGTCGTTGTTTTGACTTCCAGTTTTAATTGTTCTCTAAGTTCTTGTAGATACTAGTCTTGCTTTGTCATGGCGGTAATTTTAATGATTAATGGAAAATTATCTATCTCTGAGTAATTCTACTTGCATAATCTAATCTACTATCAATTTGAATGCAAAAGTTTACGTACTAAAATCAATTAAACAAATGATTTATTTTTCCGAGGTTTTTTTGTTTTTTTAAATTAACACATACTGATTGTTTTTCTTTGAAATAAAACCTTCAAATCAATTTTATGAAAACTAAGAGGGTATATGTACTAGGAGATACCAGGGACTGTTATACTAGACGTCTTGTACTAGACTTTCTTAAACCGTTACGATCAATGGAGAATAATCAGGACATAAGAGGATTAACATTCCACAAAGATAAATCTAACTGGTATCTAAGTAGACTTTATATTTTAAATATATTATAACATTATATTATTATTCAACATGTCAACAGATGCACTCAAATGCACAATCACGTTTCTTACAAAAACCTATAAATCTGATATATCGGTGGGTAGTGTAAAAATGACATGGTATCGGTTTCCTATTAAATATGTATGTAACAGCTTTCCACATGAAATTACCGCACATTTTATTCAATCTTACATAGCTCACATATCAATAAATGTTTACAACATACTTTCTATTTATATTGTGTCAAGAAATTCTTACCTGGCGTATTACATCTGACTAATGGAAGGTACAGACAAACCGACAAACATACACATAGCCAGTCATTCCACATCTCGTCATATCCCTTCATCTACCATGTAAATGACAGTCCTCCACATTCCGCTCACAAAGTCATTAGAGAGCAGTCTAAATTAAAAAGATTAGAGAAGTTGTAAATTAAGGTGCTTCCAAGTAATTTCATGTGTAAATCCAAAATTAAATTCACGCACTTCACAAATGCAAATTGAAAATCATTCAAAAAAGACCACAAACTGTTACTTTGGCCTGTTCTATAATGTCTAGTAGCCTTGGTAATACGCATGCAATTTGAACATTTAATTAGCTTCTGTGTATATTAAACTACGAAATAGGGTATGTAAAATCCACATTAAAGATTGAAAAACGAAATAAAAATCTTTTATATAAAATCGACTTGCAGTTGACGAAACACAATTTTAAATTAGTCACAATATTGAGTTACAACATTAAGGTGAAAAACCCAATGAACCAATCCATCGCGCAGCTGTAATTCGCGTCTGTCTTTGTTGATTTCATTCACGTGTAGACAAATGGTCTTTTTACCTGAACTAAATAGAACAAATTCACCCCACACCTGATCACCTTATTAAATATATAATAGACTAATCGCTATCTTGTCATTTCTCATAAACGTTAGTCCAATGTCACCAAGTTTTTCTTATCAAGATACACATTTTTCAGATCGATTTAAACATTTTAAATCTTAATACAACTTGAAAGGATATTTAAGCTGGCTCGTCGCTGCTATCGGTTGCATGGGCACATGAGCTTCAAAGGTTGACAAATATTATTTGTGCACCTTTCATCTTTTATTCAATAATTCACTACTGCGGAAAAGAAAGATTATTACAGGTAAATTGAATCAATAAATTATACATAATAGGAGCACAACTTCATGTAAAATATATAGTATATAACCTCAACAATACTCCAGTTACTTAATAAGAGTGGTGAATACTTGATCTCCATGCTTATAGAAGGAAGAATGCACGTTTAAAAAAATACCAAAGTTTTATATGAGACGTATTTTATTGCACTTAATGGCAATCTAGAAAAAAACATCTCAGCCTTTCATGAACAACGATAAAATTACGTAGATAGAATAAGAGAAATATAACTTGTACAGCACTAAAAATTAAAATTTCAAATAAACAATTTTTCAAAAAGCAACAAAATAAAGAATGTTTTACTTACAATTTGAAACATTACGACCTCTTTTTTTATTTATTACAAAGCTCTTTTCTCATAAGTCAAAATTATTTTAAACGCTATTAATTTTTACCTTAATATTTTTCCTTTTTATGAAAGTTCATATTTATGACCATAAATATGGAAACGTGCTCATTTAAATAACTCTTGAATTATAACCTTTGAAAGCCGGTAGCATATACAAACCACAAAGATCTATACTGTAAGGACAAATTCCAGTTTAATGCTGATAAATTGAAAGCTATCCGCTTCGAAAGCTTCTCATTAAAAATTAACATGAACGTAAATTACAGCTATTTTCTTTCTCATTTGTAAACTTGTGACAAAGTGAAATAAATAAATGAAACATGAATGTATGTCATTGTTGAGTCTATGACAATGGAAGTGCATGTTTGCTCTCAGATCACGACCTCGTGGAATACATTAGTTGAAGTGTGAACAATAATCTGTTGTTTACCTAGACATTGTCAACAAATGTGTCAAACTCTAATGACAAACCTTCATAATTGATCATTCGAAATCATTATAGAAATTACTTTTACGTTATGATATTGATTTAATTCAATTATAATTTATGTATTTATAGTGAAAATTTTACCAAAATTGCTCTTTCTTAATAACTATCAATACAACATTTGAAATTTTCGAAAACGGTTTTATCCAGTAGAGACCTACCAGGCAATGCTTGTCACTAACCTCTGCATTTACAGAGAACAATATTAACCTTTACAATAGTGTTGCTGTATGTGAATACTGGTACATCTAATATTAAACATATTTTTAACTGAAAGCTGTTTACATTGGTGAAAACAATTAAAATTTGTTTTCGACATTATCAACTCAGTTAAAATAAAAATTCAGCTATTTTCTATATTTAGAAATGACTGTAAATGAAATTGTTTAAACTTAAATTTAAATTTAAAACAGGAAATTATTATATAAGATTTAATAAAATATCCTATGAGCAATGAAAAATTCCAAAACAATTAGTATGAGGCGATAGATCATGAACAGAGGAAAAGATTGTTGCGGCGACAAATCGAAAATAATATCACACAGATATCCCGTCAACTAACTTATGATGGCTAGTTTTATCATAAGATAACTCTGGTACACCATTTTACTGAGAGATTTATTTTTTATGATTGAGGGCGCTGCTAAAATGTTGTTCCATTAAAATGGAAGGTTAGCAATTTCCAAAATTTATATTATTTTTATAAAAAGATCAGTGCATACGTCAATGACAACAACCGAACGACACAAATAGCCAACAATACATATAGAAGTTAACATAAAGTAAAATAAAAACAATAGGTGTCTGTACAATATGTCAATCTTTAAAATATCCACACCTATAATGGGATTGAATTAGAAAAATATAAAAACTTGACATCAATACCAAATTCTCTAACTAATAATTCTTAAGATTATAACAGATAACCCAATGACAATGTTTCTGACTTTAGACAGGCACACACAATAGCATGGTTAGACAAGTTATTTTTAGATCATTTCCAATTTTATGTCAACCAATGGACTAACAAAAGTTACACAAAGAACCCATAATAAAAAAACAGGACAAGGACTATACAACAAAAAGTACAAATGAAACAATGATAAACGTTCCAGGGTGTTTGAATTACGCATATGAAGCTGTAAAATACGTCCGATACTCTCAATGGTTATTAGCAAAGACTTTTAGTTTGTAAGCAATGATGACCGAAACCACAAAAAAACTTATGTAGCTTTGACTTTCTAAAATTTTCAAAAACGGAAAATCAAAATCAAAATGTTATTTTTCTAACGGTTGCCTTTAGCTACACACTAACGACTAGACGGAGAATACACTTCGATAATTTTCAGCCTGCTAGTAACAAAAGCGGTACCAATGTTACTGCACCAGGTTCTCAATTCGACAAATAATGTCTCTCCAGTGATGCTCGAATTCAAAATATTTGAACATCCAAAACCTAATACAAACGTTAAAGAGCTGATAAAACCAAAAAGTCCGGACAAGGAATCAGCGATTTTAACATTAATTTACAAATGCGTCTGCCCCAAATCAGGAGTCTATAGAACAGTGGTAAGCGTTGGTTCATGTCTGCCATATTTGTTTTTCGTAAATTGTTTTGTTATAAATTAGGCCATTACTTTTCTCGTTTGAACTGTTTCACATCTTTTATGTCGGGACCTTTGATAGCCGACTATATACGATATGGGTTTTTCTGATTGTTGCAGGCCGTACGTTGGCCTATGATGGCTAACTACCTCTTCATTTCAACTATGGTGGATAGTTGTCTCATTTGGCAATCATACCACATCTTCGAATTTTATATTGATATATTATGTACATAAATAAAGGCAACAGTAGTATACCGCTGTTCGAAAATTCATAAATCGATTGAGAAAAAAACAAATCCGGGTTACAAACTAAAACTGAGGGAAACACATCAAATATAAGAGGAGAACTACGACACAACAGAAACACAACATTGAAATGTAACACACACAAAAACGAACTATAATATAACAGTGGCCATTTTCCTGACTTGGTACAGGACATTTTAAGAAAAAAATGGTGGGTTGAACCTGGTTTTGTGGCTAGCCAAACCTCCCGCTTTTATGACAATGTTAAAATTAAAATTAAAATGATAACATTACATGACAGGACTACAATACAAATAATCTGGTGTTTACCAATACATTGTCAACAAATGTGTCCAAACCATCTCTGTTATTTTTGTTCTCTGTAAATGCAGATGCCCTTAATAAGTGGTGCATGTACTTTATAAAAATCAATAATGTAAGAATATTGTTTATACATATACCCAATTTAAAGGTATGAAAATAGAGCAATTTTGGTTAATTGTTTACTGTAAAAACATAAATTATAATTGAATAAAATCAATATCATTACGTCATAGCCTTTTCTATAATGATTTCGCCCGAATACCCTTTATGTACGAATATCTGATATTATCAATTATGACGGTTTGTCATTAGATTTTGACACATGTGTTGACAATGTATTGGTAAACGCCAGATTATTGTTCAAACTTTAGCAAATGTATTCCACGAGGTTGTGATCTGTGAGCAAACACGCACTTCCATTGTTATAGACTAAAAAATGATCATTTATATATTTCACTTTATCACAAATGAGAAAAAAATAGCTGTAATTTACGTTCATGCTAATATTTAACGAAAAGCTTCCGAAGCGGAGAGCATTCAGTTTATCAGCAATAAACTAAAATCTATATTCCTTAATAAAAAAAAACACAGCCCAATACAAATGTTGCAGGGTTGATTAAACCAAAAGGACCAAAGTAACAATAGTGATATCAAACTCGGACAACAGTGATATGAATCCCGGACAACAGTGATATGAAACCCTGACAACAGTGATACCAAATCCAGACAACAGTGATACCAAAACCGGACAACAGTGATATCAAACCCGGACAACATTGATAATAAACCCGGATAACAGTGATACCAAATCCAGACAACAGTGATATCAAATCCGGACAACAGTGATATAAAACCCGGAAAACTGATATCAAACCCGAACAACAGTGATATCAAACCCGGAAAACAGTTATATCAAACCCGGACATAACTGATATCAAACTCGGACAACAGTGATATTTAACCCAGACATTAGTGATATTAATGAAACCATACTGATTTTTGAGTTCTTGCAACTTATTATCTTATTATAGCATTTTATTTGATATTGATTATAAATGCATATCATCTTAAAATAATTTCAAGTTATTTGAAACTACTAATCAGGAAAAATCCATGTGGAATAACAGCAGAAAATGTCAAAGAATGAATTAGAACACGATGACAGACATCAAACAATAGTCAATGCATGACACAATAATAAAGGTGACCGTCAAAACTTCCAATTTGATATTAAGCTAGAAATAATTATGATCTAGCAGACTGCAATATCAAAATCTTTATTTCCCCCGAGTCTAACCTTTTCATGGAATACTACTTTTTTTGTTGTATACACAGTCTAGCATTTCTTTATATGCTTTTAACTTAATTAATACTAAAAAATATGTGGTATTTCGTTTTTGGTATATACTTCACGTATAAAATATCAAAAAATCAATGCCTACTTGAAAACCTGTGCCTGTAGGGAACCGGAACGGCTTATCCTTCAAAAGCACTTGAGATCATCCCTGTTTTTGTTGGGACTCATGTTTCTCAGTCTCTATATATTGCTGTTTGTTTTGTTTCGCTTAATATTAAGCATTATGTGCTAATGTTTACAATTCGTCGACTTTTTAGAGTTTTTGATTACCTCGCCTAT